TTAATAAAGTCATTTACATTAATTCTCTATAAAATTTTAATAAATAAAAATCTTAAATATTTTAATTTAATATTCATAGAATATAATTTATAATAATATATCTTTTGTCAAATAAAATTAGTATCAACTCATGCCAATTAAATTAATTATTATAAACTTTACAAAAATAAATTATACCCCCTCAATTATAGTACTTACTATAATAAGTATAATCTATATAAATAAACATAATAAAATAAAACTAATTCATTAATATTTTAATTTTTTTATAAATTACAAAATTTATCAGTAATTTAAAATTCCTGATTTATAATATTTTAATTTTTATTCAATATAAATATATAATTAATAAAATAAAATACAGTTAAATAAATTTAGTAATAATAAATAAAAACCATTTTAAAATATTTAACTATTAATAAACTTATTCAATTAATTTTTATTATATTTAAACTATAAATTAAATCAGTAATTTAAAATTCCTGATTTTGCCTAAAATAGATATACTAATATAAGTTAATTATAATAGTAACTAATATTAATTTAAAATAAAATTTTAATAAATAAAAATCTTAAATATTTTAATTTAATATTTATAGAATATAAATTAAAATAATAATAACTATTTTATATCGCCTTTTTGTGAAATAAAATTAGTATCGACTCACGTTAATTAAATTAATTATTACAAATTTAATAAATAAATAAATAAATATACCCCTCAATTATAGTAATTTAATATAATTTATATAATAAATATAATAATAAAATAAAATTATTTTTAATTTTATATTAAAAAATTAAATAAAATTATAAAAATTTTAAAATTTTAATTTATAATAATTAATTTATATTAATAAACACAAACATAATTAATAAAATTAAATATAGTTAAATAAATTTAGTAAACAATTAAACAAAAAAATTTATTTATTTTACACTATATTTTAAAATATTTAATTATTAATAAAAATTTATTTAATTAACTTATATTAGTATATCCATTTTAGGCAAAATCAGGAATTTTAAATTACTGATGTTTTTTTTTTTTTAAAAATTAAAAAATTTTTTTTTTTTTCTCTTTCTTATTTATTTATACATGAACTAATATTTTAAGTTACTTTGTTTTTATAATTTTTTTTCACATATTCCTATGTATTGTATAATTTTTAAAGTAATTGGTATAAGATTTACGATTGAGATTTACTTGAATTCGACTGTTAATTTGACTTAGTTATATTCCATGTATTAGTAAGTAAATATATCAATAAATAAATAATCGGCATCTCATAAATTGGATTATTAAAAAAAAGATTCATTATATATGTTTAAAATTCTTTTTATGTAAGCAAAAATCACCAATAAATTTTGGAAGTTTGCACGTCTTTTAGCCAATTTTCTAAATTTCGAAATTTGAAAAGAACCAGAATGATGTATCCGCAAATAGGCTTATAAACCAGCAACGTGAGATGAAGGAATTTTTGTGATGAATTGTTCCATTGGTTATGAGATTGCGAGTAGCAGTTGCATTAATTTCCGCAAGAAGCTGGAGGATCAGTTGCGTAGTAGATGAGATTTACTTTGTTAAGCGACATAAATCTACAAGTAGTCAGCCCAGTATTTTCGAATATCGGATGAATTTCCGGGAAAAAAGAATTATAGGCTGTATATTTGTTTATTAAGACAGTAAGAGAAAAAGGGATTAAAAAGAAAAATCAGCAGATTTGATAAAAGCAGTCAGTTATTTGAGCTGTGTATAATTGCTAGCATGAAAAATTTCATATAAATTATCGTATAAGTTAAAGAAAGCGAAAGGTTCTCTAAGGACTTTAAACCTTCTGCATTCAAGAATTAGATGCTCAACTGACTTATTGCATTTTTGTTGCATTTTTAAATAGACGTTGTCATATGTACGATTGCTTATGAGTCTGTAAAGTACTTTATTTTCCCACGTTGTGAATTTGCCATCCAACAAAGGCTTTGAGCCTTCAGAAAGGGAAAAGGGGAATTTTATGAAAAAAACGATAATTTTTTCTCGAACAATTTCATAATATTCATCCTTTCATTCTTGTATAATGTTTTTTCGAATTATACGGAGAGCATCACTGGGAGGGTAGTTTATGGAGAGGATTGTATTGTCAAATTGAGCCTCACGCGCGTGAGTATTAGCCTTCTGATTTAAGCTGGAACCACGCCTATAAAAATTGTATAAAACTATTCAAGAGACGTACAAGGGGAGATAAATGCTTATTTTTTATATTTTTTTATAGACAAGATTATATATTATATTTCAAGCACTTGTACGAATTTTGGGAAGAACTAACAGAAAATTTTTCAAAATAGGACAAAATCCAATGCCATGCCTATAAAAATTGTATAAAACTATTCAGGAGACGTACAAGGGGAGATAAATGCTTATTTTTTATACATTTATATGTACAAGATTATATATTATATATCAAGCACTTGTACGAATATATGGTAAAATTAACAGAAAATTTTTCAAAATAGGGCAAATTCGAATGCCACGCCTGTAAAAATTGTATAAAACTATTCAGGAGACGTACAAGGGGAGATAAATGCTTATTTTTTATACATTTATATATACAAGATTATATATTATATTTCAAGCACTTCAAGCACAAAAAAAAAAAACTTAATCTTGCTGTAGCTGTTTTGATAATGCGTTGCGTTTCAGACTAGAAAAGCGTGATTGACCATTCCTTACTTATTACATCTTATCATACCATGGCTGAAAGACAGTTTTCATTTAATTATTCAATTCCTTTAGTAGATGCGGCATATGAAAACTTACATTAGTAACAGTTAAAATGGACATTTATAAGCGCGAATACTCGCCCAGCAAATCAGCTAGCTCACTTTTCAATCCAACCATGCACTTTTTAGTTTTATGATTATATGACCAATATCTTTCACTTGTTGGGAGAATTCGTCACGTCTTTCACGTCTTCCATTAGGTACATTCCTAAGACTTTAATAAAGCCCCTTCATTCAATTTTTGAAAAAATTTTAAATATGAAAAAAAAAACTTTTTTACTTCTTACTTGACGATCTTATTTTATCCGCGGTCAGAATTGAAATGACCGATTGTATGAGAGAGAGAAAGAAATGCACGTCTGCAAAATTTCAAAACACATAATTATTAAAAAAAAATAGCAGAATTGAAAAGCATTGCCATCCTCAATACTTCTTTTGACAGTGGTACGGAGATGAAACAAAATGTGAAAATGAAGAGAAGGGCTCATTTGTAATTTTTCCGTCCATCACCATAGAATGATGCGTTTGCACGACGGAAATTTGAGAGTATATACATTCCTGATCAGCATCTAATTATAAATCGATTTATGTACGTCCGGCTGGCTGTCTGCCCATCTATGTGATCTTTGTTTGTCTCTTGGCCACAAATATGAAGCTGGCAGAAGCATTGGGAATTATTGGGCAGAGGCTGGTATTGAAAATGGCGTATATCGATCGAAGGACACGCCTACAATGTGACGTTAAAAATTGCGTTCCTTGTTCATTATTCATAAACTACAGCAGATTAATCTACAAAAATTTGAAAATCGAATAATGTTCCATAAATATATTTTTTTTTTTGTCTTTATTTATTAATAACTGCATTCTTATATGGAATGAATATAAATAAACACTAAAAAAGCTATAACTATATAAGTATTTGAAGAGGAAAAAGATACAAGAAACCAAGGATAAGTAAAATACATCCAAAAGGATAAGAAAGAACTCAAAATGTACTAACATTAAAAAAAATAAATTTATCTTATAAGAAAATTTGATTGATTTGAAATTTGTTATTTGTTTAAATTAGTACGAGTACGACTTAAGCCCGAGTACGACGCCGCCCCCTCTTTGGTCTATTAACGCATGGTGTACTTGTTTTAACAGCATTATTAATAAACTCCCCTAATTCTGGGGTCGTAGTCTCGGTTTGTCGTGTGTTTCTATTCGGCGTCTCACAAAGTTGGGGGGGGGTGGCTTATAATTATATTTTGGATTTAATGACAACAAATACTTTTTACGACACAGCATTGGACCAGCTGCTGACAATTTGCTGCTGCTGGGATATTCGTTGATTCTTTCTTCTTTGCCTTTTTCGCACATCGCTTGAAAGCCTGTTTTGTTGGCTATTTGCGCACTGCTGTTTGTATTTTTTCCAAACTTGGACTCCATACTTTTAATACTTTTAATCGTCATCCGAGCTTTTATGTCTTTTAGTTCAGTTTGATAATTCGTTTCTTGATATGGAGGTTTTTTTACCATTCGCTGTTTGAAAACCAGCAGAGACAAGTGAACTTTCCGGATTATTCACCTTGCCCACTTCAACTCGATTCACTTTCCTTTTCACTTCTTCCGATTCGTTTTCAATAGAAATTTCACTCACGCCAACTGCGTCTTTACCTACTCGCAACTCAGGCCGTTCTCCGCTAGCTTTTTGAAGTCCTAATGCAACATTAGTTTCTCTCAGCACCAAGCTCTTGTCTCTTTGGTTACCTTTAAAGCCAATCAAAACAATAACAATAAACTAATAAGCAGAATAAAATGTGAATATCATACCCTGGGTTATCTGCTTATTTACTGGGAACTTAGACGTATGGGAAAAATTATTAATGGAAAATGAATTATTCATCTCCACGTCTTGATGTAGGATTTCTTGAGTGCTTATGGAAGCAAAAATGTCATCGCCATCTTCATCCCAATCATAATTGTTACTTATCTCAGTTTTAAACTGATTGGATGGCACCAAAGCTGAAAAATTTTGGATTAATTTAAATATTGTCTCATCGCAGATTTTAAAAACAACTTACTTTCATTTATGTTGTAAATGTCCTCTTTTTCCATATCGTAAGAACCTCGATCTGAAGCTTTTCCTAAAAAGAATGTACAAAGTTAGGGTTGTTAAAAAGAGCCTATAAAGAGCCACTTACTTTCTGACGTAGAATCGTACAAAAGAGCCAATTTTGCCTTTTCTCTAAATTCACGGCTGTAGTTTTTCTTGGGTTTTTCCCGTAAAATATATAAAGGGGATTGTTCCAAATTCCTTAACTTACTCTCGGGTGATACTACAGGACTATTAAAAGGCGATGTAGAAAAGTCCTCAAATATTATATCCACAATTGTTTTTTTTTTTTGTCATCTCCTCCTTCTGGAGAGTCCTCAAGTACTATACCCACAATTGTTTCTTTTTCTTCTGGAGCGTCTATGTTTTTACTTCTTTCATCGTATCTTCCGCTTTATTGCAACATTCGATTAACTCTTCATCAGAGATATGAAATTGGGTATCCGGTAATTCTAGTGTTGCAGCTCTTTGTGCCTTTAAAAGTATAAACGAATGTTTTAGCACTAATAATTAAAATGAAGGATTGGAACAGTCAGTATTTTGAAACCTTTTATTGAGCTTATTCTCGTGTCAGCATGAAAAATCTCAATCGCTATTTCGGTGTTCAAATCAAATATGATGGACATTAAGGGGGCAGGGAATTTTTTTTTTTTTTGTTTTTTCAGGTATTGAAATATTTAGCATTCCACCATGAAAAATTCTTGCTATTACAAATTAAAGAAATCAAAAAAAAACTGAAGCGTTATGCCGAATTGATTAAATATCAATTTTTTTTCTTCTTTTTTTTGGGCAAGAACAGTGCTCTTAAGTTGCATTAATGTGAATTCCTTAACGCCAGCATTAGCGCAAATCTATTTTACGTAAATATGTAAAGACAACAATGAATATAAAAACATAAAAAAAACTATGTTTCTTACGAAAGGTAATTAAGAATTATTTATTTAAACGTTGTGTCCGAAATGTTTGCGAACGGTGACGACTTGCTGTCCCATGTTTGTATGTTAGGCTATAGGTAACGTTTTGGTTCTAACAAAAGAATATTTATAGGTATGACTAACTAATCCAAAAATGGAAACGCGAACAGGAAAGTAACAAAAAATACTTTACGTAATTTATGAACATATTGGAGTGCATATGGGGGAAAAAAATATAATCGAGTACCTCATCGATGAAGGAATGTTCGACTGCATAAAAATGATGTTGTAAGCCAAGGAGGTTCTAACAAACAAAAAAAACCGTATGCAAGCAGCAAAAATTGTAGGGAACGTTAATAGTTTTCAAGTGTGAAGTTTTGCTCTTCTTTGGAAGAAATTCTTAAAGAGTAAGATAATGCCGTAAGTCAAAAAAAAAAACAAATAATAAAACCAATTTTTTTTTCTAAAAGATAAAACGAAAAGAGAATAAATGTATATACTAATGATAACTATGACTTGTTAAATGTTATATTTTGAAAAAGCATTAAAAAGCTTTGGCGTAATTAAACACATGCAAAGCTCAACAACATTAATAAGATAATAGGAGTCATATAAAAGCAACTACATCTATATCCGACGTAGTCTCTAATGCAGTAGTACACAACGAGCACCACATGCTGCACTGCCCAATTACCATCACTTCATCCTATGTCCCTTCCTGTGGTATCTAATGTATGGCGGTTTGTTCAATTTACATCTTCTAAGAGGAGCGAAATCGATAGGTTATGCGAATGACATTTCTCGGGTCGGGCGGCAAGTCGACTCTGCTAATAGAGGTAGTAGCCAGTAGATGTTGCCGACTGTAGTGATGTAAATGGCTAAAGCAATTGTAACGTCCGCGAACAAAGTTCAGGGAGGGTGTCTGTCAGTCCGCTTTTGCCACAACTGTCATAATAACCGCATGCCGTTATATGACATCACATGATTTTACTGTTTCCCTGCCTATTAGCGGATAGCCGTTATTTACGCAAAAGAGTAGAGAGAGAGAAAAATCATGCGAGGAAATTCGGTGGTGGTTGTTTTTTCGGATGTTGATCGTTTTTCGAGTAGTTGAGCATGAACTACCGAAGCAGACGGTTGGAGTAGAAGAAACATTGCCTTAGAAATATACGAAAAAGGTCGATTTTATGCTCAACGAAAAAAACAAACTCATAATTCTGTCCGGAATGTTTCAAGTGCGGGAACGCAAAATAAAATTCAGTAAAATTCCTTTATTATATTTATATAGATATCAATTTATTTGCCAAAGTGTCGTAAAATATGGCAGCTGTAAATAGTGAAGAAATGAATAAGAAAAAACTACACGAAGGCTAAAAATTTGATAGATATACGTATATTCCTGGGGCAAAAAAAAAAAAAAAGGAGAAAAGAATAGGTTTGAAAAATTCCCATAGCTGGAAATAAAAGAGGAAATTAAACGATAGAAATGTTCTAGAAAATGTGAAGTTCAAAGTCGAAAGCATTGGCATGTTTTTTTTTGTAAAATATTTTTATGAACAATAAAAAGAGAAATAATCTTATGCACAAAAAAAAAAGGGATGAAGATAAGGGAAACTAAAGAGATGTGTACACTTTTGCTTGGACGAGTGAATAAATAAATAAAAGAGAAAAAAAAGCTTTCGAACTCTCGAACGGTGAAGCCTGGCAAGAGCGAGAGCATATGAAAAATAATTGAAATAATATTTATATGTAAATAGTATTGACAAATTAGTATTGAATAAAAATATTGTTTTATATTAAAGTAAATTTTACAATGAAAATTAACTGAACTGTAAGCAAGAGAAGCGTAACCGAAACTAGTCAGAACACGAATTCCTTCAGGAAGGAATATTGTACATAATTCTGGTGTACTAGAAACCACATAAAGAGAGTGTTGCACACAGGAGAGAAAAAAAAGGAAATATTTGACAGCAAAACAATGACTGGGAACAACATCCGAGAAAAGAAAAAAGGAAAAAGCTATTCACACGTAGATATCTAAATTAAACCTGTTGTTCAGACGAAATCGTGAATGGCAATACCATTTTGGTTTGTTTTTGTTCTTCCTTTTTTTTTACTTTTCTTGCTTTATTACACATATGCCTTATTCAATAAAATACATTACTATTATTGTCTTTTGCTTTGTCATGTAAAGAAGTCTTTTCTTGTGCTCCTGCTTTATTATCTTAAAGGGAAAATGTATTGGTTAAAATATCATAATTTAAAATACTATACTCGCTTTCTCATAAGCAAGCAACATGCATCACCATCTGTCATCAAACTAAAATTAAAATATGTCAAATCTGAAATCAAAAAAAAAAATAAAATATGTTAAATCTATAGTCAACTAAAATTAAAATATGTAAAACAATCACGAGTCGACTTGTGTTCAGTGTAGTGCGTGTTTTCTTTTCGTCTGCATTTTTTCAATTGTTTCGGTGTTTTCGGTGTTTTTGTGTATTTAACTTCTGTCTTTTCAGTGTTATTGCTAAAACTGGTTAACGCGGATATCGCGTATGTGCTTTTGTTTCGTCCATATATAATAAAAAATAGAAAACAAAAAAACAAAATAAAAAAAAAAAATTGAAAACATTTGACACTTTTCTTTAGTAGTTCCCAACCTTCTTGCACAGTTCCCAAACCTTTTCAAGTGAGTGGTTATTTCAAAAATAATAATAAATAGACAACAATAAGGCATAATGGCCCCGGGGCCGCCAGACAAAAACCCGAATAGATTTTATCTATTAAGTGATACATCCCCCCAAAGAAAAAAAAGTAAAAAATCAGATTTTCCGGTGTTGCCGATCAGCGATATAATCCCTATTGATAAAAAATATATTGTTATTTCTTCAACCGATGCTCGAATAACAATTTCCCAAATTAGCCCTTTTGCTATAAAAAAAGCTCTAGATAGCATTACAACATACATCGACTCCATCTCGATTCTACGCGATGGGAATTTACTGGTCCTCGCTGGGAACCCGCGCGCAACCGAAAAACTAATAAAGGCCAATTCTTTAGCTAATCTATGTGCTATTTCAGCTAAACTACATGAGAAACTTAACTCCGTTCGAGGCGTAATTTATGCCCCTTGCTTAGAGCATGTGCCGGAAGATGAAATTGTTCGCGAAATGGGCATTCAAGGAGTGACTGAAGCATATAAATTAACCAAACTGAATGATGACGGAAAAACACGCTCTCCTACAGGAAGGATTATTTTAACTTTTGATCGCTATCGATTACCGCGAACAGTTGATGTGGCGTGGTATAAATGTAAAGTAGAACTATACATCCCAAATCCTATGAGGTGTAAAAATTGCCAACGCCTGGGTCATACGGCAAAAAGATGCACTAATGCTGCATCTTGTGCTAACTGTGGTCATCCTCCACATACTGAAAGTTGTACCCGTAGTTTCTGCATAAATTGCAATGATCAACACTCAGCGTTAGACAAACAATGCCCACGTTTTGTACAGATGCGTGAAATATTAAAAATCAAAACAGAAAATTACTGTAGCATGGGCGAAGCGCGACGCACATACCGGGAAGGAAACCCATCTGTAGCCCATGGAATTGGCAAAAGTAATACCTATGCTGCTGTTGCCTCGCAAATCGAGCCTAGTAAGACTTTAACTGCAACTGCTTCCAATGAAAAACCTTTTCCACCATTAACCAAAAATTATATTGCGAAACCAGTTACATCACTTGCCAAAGATAATATTGAAAAAACCAAAGCAACTGCAAATATTGAAAAAATCCAAACAACAACATATATGCTAAAATCTAATATACCAAATTCTCCAGAATCTCCAGCTCTCAACTTTACTCAACATATCACAAGTGGTAATGAATCCATTCTTTCATCCATTAATCAACCTTCGAAAACCAAAGCAACTGCAAATATTGAAAAAATTAAAACAACAACACATTTGCTAAAATCTAATATACCAAATTCTCCAGAATCTCCAGCTCTCAACTTTACTCAACAAATCACAAATGTTAATGAATCCATTCTTTCATCCCTCAATCAACCTTCAATTTCAAATTATTCACGTGCGCCAACCCGTTGCGCTTCAAATGTACCAAATCACCTAAATACAGATTATTCTGCTGGTAAGAATAAATCATTCACGAAAAATTCCTATAGCGACCTTCTCGACGGAGACGCTGACATGTCAACTTAACCCTCCCTCCACTCTGCTTACATGTCATTACAATTAAATAAAGTTTTTAAAATTCTACAATGGAACATTAAGGGACTTATTAATAATTTTGATGAACTCCGTACACTCATAAATGATTTTAATCCAACCTTTTTAACGCTTCAAGAAACCCATTGTAGAAGCTCTTTTAATCCTATTCCACCCAAATCATATAGTGGATTCTTTCTCGAATGCTGATCAAAATTCATATTCCAAACAAGGAGTAGGTGTTTTTATAAAATCAAGTATACCTCACAAACGCATAAATTTAAGCTCAAATATACAAGCCGTAGCGATACAAA